ATCTGGGGCTTTGCCAACAACGAACTTATCATCTCCCGCCCTAATGGCACAGCTATCATCTTTTGCTACCTACCCTTCTGGACACTTGGACATGGTCAATGGCTTCTTTGATCAGTTTATAGACACAACCTCCCTCATCGTGTGTGTGCTGGCCATTGTTGACCCGTAGGGGTCAACAGCCCTGTCTCCCATGGCCTGGAGGCCTTCACTGTGGGCCTTGTGGTGCTGGTCATTGGCACCTCCATGGGCTTCAACTCTGACTATGCTGTCAGTCCTGCCCATGACTTTGGCCCGTGTCTTTTCACTGCCCCGGCTAGCTGGGGCTCACAAGTCTTCACGGCTGGCAGACACTGGTGCTGGGTACCTGTCATCTCTCCACTTCTGGGCTCCTGTACCAGCTTATGATCAGTTGCCACCTGGAGCAGCCCCACCCTCCACTGAGGCAGAGAATGTGAAGCTGGCCCACGTGAAGCACAAGGAACAGATCTGAGTGGGCAGCAACCATCCCCCACTGCTTGCTCTCTTAAACATCCACTGACTCTGCGGGCCACTCCCTAAAAGCCCCCTTATGATCCCTCTAGCAGTCTAAGAAGCTCTCTGTCGACCCCATCCTTCTGGATGGCCCCCTGCAGGATTTCCACTAGACTTTGTCCATTAGGACTTTAGGCCCCCACCCTTAAGCAGTGGTGGGGTATCAGTAGGACCAGACACCCTTTTTGTTTCCCAAAGGAAGAGAATGTGCTGTGGTTTTGTGTGTGTGTGTGTGTGTGTGTGTGTGTGTGTGTGTGTGTATTTGTGTGGTTTCCCAGCCATTCAGGGCAAGGGAGCAAGTTTTCAAAAAGGATCCCAGCAGTTCAAGGGAGCCAGGGGAAAGGGAGAAGGTGATAACATCCAGTTGTGAGTGAGGAAAGCACCAGGGTGTGTGTGTTTTTCTCTACCCTTTGGGAAGCGAATTGGGACAAGGGGGCCACAGCTCACATAGAGAATTATGGGATCCCTGAGCAGGAGCTATGTAAGGTGTTTCTCTTTCTAAGGTAGGCATTGGGAGAGGGATGAAGTCCAGGTCATAAGTTTCATGTTTGCTGGCTTTTGTTTTTGTTTGTTTTTTAAAATACAGCTATATAGAGAGAGATGTTACAGTCTTAGGGATAGGGGTAGGAGACTCCACTTCAAAAAGGGTTTTCCTTCCTTTAGTCCTCTACTCAACAATATACTCTTGCCTTTTATAAAAAAATAAAATGTATGCTAAAGCAGTCAATTTTACAAAAAAAACCATTGCTAACAAGATGCTGAATTTTAAAAATAAACATGCATCTACATGTTTCCATAACAAACTTTATTCACTTATTTTTATTTTATGTATATGAGTGCTATGTCTATATGTTTGTAAGTGCACCACGTGCATGCAATGTCCATGGAGGCCAGAAAAGGGCACTGGATTCCCTGAAACGAGTTTTAGATGGTTGTTAGTCACCATGTGAGTGCTGGAACTTGAACCCAGGTCCTTTGCAAGAGCAACCAGTGCTCTTAATTGCTGAGCCATCTATCCATCCTGTTAACATAACAAATTTTAAATTCCCATAGAAAGAAATACAATATATAATCAGAAATATAATTTTTAAGAAATCCATATTTTTGGAATGGATCTTAAAGAACTATTCCCTCCACTTAATATCCTAAAGAATAAGGCAAAAATGTTGCAGCATTATTACTCATAATAGAAAAAATATTGGAAAACATATTTTCTTGGGGGCTGGAGAGTTGGCTCAGAGCTTGCTGCTCTCGCAGAGGACCTGGGTTTAGTTCTCAGCACCCACATGGCAGCTCTGTTGCCCTTTTCTGGCCTCTGTGGGTACTGCACACATACCAGGCTCACCTACATACATGACGGCAAAGCACTTATACACATAAAATAAAAAATAAATATTTTAAAAGTAAAAGTATTTTATTAAAGTCTTAGGTTAGGAAGACTACTATATGCCAATATCATGGACTACATAGCCATAAAAAATGTAAGACCCTGGACTCTATTGATGGAAAAGATATTCAGAAAGCAATGTTAATTGCAAAGTATTTGTTTTGTACAGGCACATTCATAGAGTTTAATTGCTTTATAAGTGTTTTTGGACAGGCTGGAGAGATGACTCAGAGTTCAAGAGCACTGGCTACTCTTGCAGAGGACCCTGGTTCAGTTCCCAGCACCCACATGGCAGCTAACAACCATCTTTAACTCTAGTTCCAAGGAATCCAGTACCCTCTTCTGACCTTTGTGGGCACTGTGCGACATGGGTATACTTACAAACATTCAGGCAATACACTCATACACATAAACAAAACTAATAAATAAAAAATATTTAAATATTTCCATATTGTTTTGTCTTCAAACCAAATATATTTTTCTTTTTTCTCTTTTCTTTTTTTTCTTTTTGGTCTTTTTGAGACAGGGTCTCCCTGTCTCCCTGTAGTCCCAGGTGGCCTGGAACTTGCTATGTAGATGAAGCTGGCCTCCAACTCACAGAGATCGCCTGCCTCTGCCTCCCAAGTGCTGGGATTAAAGACATGTACCACCACCATGCACCAGCTCAAACAAAATTTATTTAATATTTATATAAATGTAAATCTTAAAGTATACAAATAAATATCCACAAATAAATATTAGGTAGCATTAACAGACATGTTTATTGACTTAATTTAGAAAAAAGCAGAATTTCACACAAAACCATTCCATTCATATGCATTGTTCAAAAAGGGTCTGTGCTCAGAACAGATTTGGTATTTATTGAGAAAGAGTTAAATTAATATCTTTACTGTGGCAATTACAGATCTAATCCGTTAATACACATAGGAAATCGCAAAGTGAAGATCCCTATTTTTTGCCAAGTCGACTGTTTTATCATGCTTTACACTTGTTTCACTCATGTAGATAAATTTGTGTACATTTTATTTACACTTATTTATTAATTTGTCTTCCTCACCAAACAATAAATTCTGGGAAGGTCCTTAGTAATTCTGTCTTCTGCATTCTTCCTAGTGTTCCACCCAGAGCTATAGCAGGAACTCAACGAAAATGTTCTTAGTGAATGAGGTGCCAGAGGGGCATCCAGGTGGACTATTTCAGTTTTTTGGGGTATTATCATTCCAAAGTCATTCAATTGTATAATATTTTCAAAGGAAAAATTATGTTAACACCTCAAGGCCACTGGAGAGTCATTTAACAAGTTATTGTTGTGCTTCAGTGGAATAAATGACCTTGGGGAACTGAAGACATTTCTCAGAGAGTACCTCATGACCTGGAAAAGTCTTACGAAATCAGTTTTATACTGCAACTGAAAAACAGTGGTAAAAATGACCACTGGTTCATGAAATGGACCAGAAGGAATCATGACTCTGCATCAACATTGGCAGTCTTAGGAACACATTTGGCAATAATGGGTTTCCCTCCAAGGGTGTTTGCTTATTTTAGTAGTTCAAGTATGAAAAGAAGATACTCTTCCTGGAAGCTGCAAATTGTTGACTCAATAATTCTTCTGCAATGATAAATGATTTCACATACTACTTTATTTTTAATAGCCCTAGCTTAGACAATGTTTGCAGTATTTCAAATGCCTGGTTTACCTATATGTTTTATATAATAGTTTATGGTTTTATGATATTTGGAAAAATTATAATTACCTTTGGTGGACTAAATTTATATAATGCCTTTTAAAAACAACAGAAAACTACCTATTTTCATTAACTGCTAAGCTACAATTTTCTTCACTGGTATTCCAGAAGTGCTGGAAATACCCCACTGTTTTCATTATTTGAGTGACTGAAGTAAAATAATTAACACTAATATAAAATGTAATTTTTTTTCGATACCAAAACAAAAAGTATTTTAGTAGCTGTCCTTGCTCTGACATCCTGACATAACTAACAGCTTAGTTTATGCCTAAACTTTAAACCTTAGTTATATGTGGTGGTGGGGAAGGGCTATATATCAAGTCAAAGGACCTATCCCCCAATGACACATACAGAAATCAATCTGTGTACTGATTACAAAGGCAGAAAATGTAGTGCCCTGGGATCGATCCAAGACCCTCTTCTGCTGTCCTGCTTTGCCTAGTTAATGAACCACTGGGAAAGATAATTTTTAATTTTCTAAAATGAAAATTTACTAACGTCTGAAAAAAAAAAACTGTCCAAATTTGAAAAGTTTTGATCAATCGACCTTATATTAAAAAAATAAAGATCTCTACCGACACCTTCAACACAAAAGAGAGATACCTATACCTATCTACTTGGTAAACTAAAAGGAGTGGGGGAAAAAAAAAAAAAAAAAAGGTACAGAATGCCAGAAACCAAGGTGCCCTTATAGCTCAGGGATCCCTGAACACTCCAAGGCCAACGCGGTATCCGGAGGTAAGCAGCTATCCAGGGCAGCGCAGGTCTCCTTCCTGTGCCCCCCACAGAGCTCACGTATCAGCTAGAGTGAAGGTCAGAGTCCACACACTAATCTCTGTAGTCCGTGGCTGTGAAGATCGTCCTATCCTAGGGAGTTTTAAAATCTGGTTCATGAAAGGGCATTTCTGATCATTTTATTTTAAGGACAAGATCCAGCCCAGAGATGAAGGGGAAGTACAGAGGAAAAAGCGCGGTTTCTTAGAGGTTTGTCAGGAACAGAATAGGGAGTAGAGAGGTGGGGACTAGTCAAAGTCATGTCCGGAAGGCAGGCGACCAGCCTCTCCCGCAGTGGGGTGTCCAGGCGGGAGGGATTCAAGTAGGGCAGCTTCCAAAGGGATCTCCAGCAGGGTACCGGGGCGCCCGGACGCGAGGGAAACAGCTGCGCGCAGTCGGGGCGATCGCGGCCGGAGGTCCCCGCGCGCGCGCTCGGGGTGCTCCGGCTGCTGCCGCCCCGCTAGTCCCCGGCCCTGGCAAAGACCCTGGCCGCAGACGCGCATCCCCTAGCGGCGCGTCACCGCCAGGCCGGCCGGCGCGCCTCCTCCTGCTCCTCCTTCGCCACGGCGCGCTCCGGCTGGGGGAGGCGGGGAGCGGAGCGCGGCCACCCAGCATCTGCGGGTCAGAGGTGCGCCCCATAGGCCCCGGAGCCTAGCGGGTCCTAGGCGAGTGGAAGCTGCGGAGCCGGGCTGCGAAGCCGGAGAGGAGGACGCGGAGGTGAGCTGGCCGGGAAGAGCAGCTGGAGGAGGCGGAGTTCAGGGTCAACGTGCCGCGGGCGCCGCGCCGCATCCTTCCTCCCGGGACTCCGCGTCGGCTCGCAGCTGGCCAGGTAGGAAGTGGGAGGGGTGCGGAACCGTGTCAGTCGAATCCGCCTCCTCCTCGTGGTCCTCCTGGATCTCAGGGGAAGTCCTGAGGTCAGGCCCAGCAAGCGGAGGCTAGAAAGGACCTCGTCCCAGGTAGGACGTGCCCGAAAGGGAAAGGACAAGAAGGTTACTTCGGCCTGCCGGACAGTCTGCCAGTCACTTTGAGTTGATGCGGCGCATTTCACTGGCAGTCATGCACCACTGCTTTGCGAGCAGGTAAATGTTGCATGCAGTGGTTTTGCTTATTACCCAGTAACGTAATCGTGGTGTTTAGGCCATTTTGTGTTTGGAAGTAAATAGCCTGTTCTTTGAGTGTCCTCAATTATCCGGTGTTCAGCCGAAACTTGTTGAAAATTATGCCCTAAAAATCTTGGCCTTAAAATAGCGCCGGGAGGGAGTTAAAGAGATTTTTTTTTCGGTCGAGAGATTTCCATTTATTATCTCCACTACCCTGTGGAGAAGGATTAGTGTCAGATTTTTGCTCCTCGGGCAGATAGTTTTTTAGATAGAAAAACTTATTCCAGGGCAGGGTTAATTATCGCTCAACACTGTAGGCGAGATAGAATTTAAACTCCAACCCCCACCTCACCCTCAAGACTTGATTAGATTCTAGTCCCGTTAACAGCGCCACTGCTTGCAACCTTCCTCAGTCTCCAGTCTAGTCTTCCCATCCTCTTTATTTCCCTTTATTACTTATTCATTTTGTTGATTCTTTTCTCTTTCTCACCCTCTCTCGCTCTCGTTCTCTCCAAGACAGCCTATTTGAAAAAGAAAAATATGCATCCTAGGTATTTAGCAATATAAGAATAGTTGCCAGTCTTCCACGGCACTGGCTGCAGTTTCTGCAGGTTAGCTAGTCCATCAGTTGGGTGCTGGGAAAGGAGATGGTATCAGTAGTGATACCTTAAGCTAATTGTGGAAGGTGGAAATGAGAGGCTTCATCCAAATCACTTATTGTGCTATACTATGGAAATGAACTTCTAAATGAGCATAATTATATTTTAATACAGAAAAACATAGCACAGACAAGACAGAATTTTTAAATGGTTTATAACTATTACAGAGAGGTGAGAATAAAGATGCACTAAATCTGGAAAAGGTTAGGCCTATGGTGTGAGAATATCAGAATATCAGGAGGTATAGTCAGGCCCTGCTCAGCCTGTAACCATGACTCTGAAGTGCATCCACACAGCCATGACGTTGACCTAATCTTCTTGGGCCCACATATCTCCATCAGCAAAAAGAAAGGTCTGACCTAGAGACTCATTACATTTGTGTTGGCCCTGACACTTAAAAGCATTTAATGACAAAAATATTTATTACATACTTAGTTACTATGTGCCAGACAATGTGGAGGTGAGGTGGACAGGACAGACATGGCTTTTGCCATTCAGGAGCTTAATGACTTTGGTAGGGAGATAGTAAACAGTTAAAAGGCAAAATACACAATTCAGTAAAAATACCCAGCAATTTAACAGGGACTGAAAGGAAGGGGGTGGGGGGCTGGAGTGAATCATTCTAATAAAGAGAAAAGACGCATTCACATTCTAGAAAAGGATTCTAGAGCAGTAGGAATTAAGGGTCACACAGGACGTGACTGGAGAGGTGAACAGAGATTAGCTTATTTGGATTCTCTTATGTCTTGGTCAGGAAGGTGGCTGTAATTCTAAGTATGAGGAAGCCACTGATTTTCAGGAAGAAAAAGACATTTTATGATGATTTATGTTTTAAGATGACCTTTGCTGTTATGTGGAGAATGGTTTGGTAAAGGGCAAAGATGAAGATAGACTGACCATTTAGAAAATGTTTGCAAGCCAAGCATGGTGACAAATGCCTGAAGAATCTGCCCAGGAGTTTGAGACCAGCCTGGGCAACATAGAAGACCTCAGCTAAAAAAAAAAAAAAAAAGTTTACAGGGAGAAAGGATAGACACTTGGGCTAGGCTGGTGTTCAAGAGTCAGTGGAAAAGGATTAAGAAGTATTTTGAAGAGCAGGAGTTGGCACTGGATTTTATAACAAGTGTGAAGGAAACTGAGGACTAAAGAATGACTCCTAGATTTCACACTTGAGCAACTGGTAGATGAGGGTGCGTTCACTGAGATGAGGAAATTTGGAGTATACAGAAGGAGGTCTGGGCAGGAAAAGAGTTCACTTTCAAGTCTGTTAAGTTTGAGATGTCACGAGAAAGGCCATAACCATTGCCATTAAGGAGGTGAAAAGGATGGTCTCCAGGACAAAGTGGATAGACCTAACCTTTGATGGTAAAGGTGGTGATCATGAATTTAAGAGGAAACTGATTTTTCTTTAGCTTTCTTCACCAACTTGGTACAGATGCAGAGAAAATGGGTAGCTGGATTCTTCATAAGAATTTTTTTGCCAAGTGGTTATCATGGCCAGTAAGAGGGTACAGTCAAGGGAGACTCTTTTAAAAAAATTATTTTTATTTTATGTGTATATGTGTTATGCTTACATGTAAGTGTAAGTGCATCCTTGTCATGCAATGCCCATGGAGGTTGGAAGAGGGCATTGGATTTTCCCTGGAGCTGAAATTACAGATGGTTGTTAGCCCCCATGTGGGTGGTGTGAATCGAACCTGGGTCCTCTGTAAGAGCAGCCAGTGCTCTTAACTGCTGAGTCTACCCTGCAGCCCCTCAAGGAAGACTCTAAATATATACCACAAAGTCTAGGCTAGATTCAAAGAAAAACCAGGTGTTACTGTATGAAAAATGAAATGAAATGTGAGGGCCATAAGATGAAATTTATTTTGCTATCTAGAATTATCAGTGTGAATATTTAAATTAAGGGTATTGAAAAGCTACAAGATAGTGCTTGGGACTATCAGGAAGTGAGTGACAGGTGGAAGCAGAGATTCATTGCCTTTGGTGAGTAAGTCAAAAAAACAAGAGATGCTGAAGTAAAAGATTATAAACTCCCAGGAATGGTGAAACCCTAAGAGAGATGACAGCTGTGAGGGTATAGAGAACAACTGTTGATGTGCTGGGGCCCGAGGTCTCCAGGGAAAAGGGATAATCTAGAAGTCAGTAGCTGAGAGCAGAAAGGTTAGGGAGAGGGTGTTATGAGTTGCCAGTTGCCTTAAAGGACCTGGATGTATACAGGAAAAGCTAAGGAAGTTTAGATGTGAGTTTATGAAGACTTCACTACCCCACCTCTTGGCCCTGGAGGGTTGCATTGTCTTGATAACCTGTTCAAATCATCAGCTTGTGACTGTTATGAGACTCTCTAAGGGTAGGTCTTTCTGAGTTACTGTCATTCAATAATTAATGTCCTAGATGTTTCCATGCAAAATAAATTAAGCTTTCTTTTTCAAAATTAACTTAGCACATCAGCTACCATTCTGCTAGAGAACTATTAAGGAATCCCAGACTGTAGTTGAGTATAACTGAATTATCTTGCAGTGCTCTAGTTAAATGCATACAGCAAGTCAAATGCCCGTATCACCTTGAAATTTCAAGGAGCCCTTATGCCACTTAAAACACTTTTGGATGGAACTCCTATAGCTGTGTTAAATACAAGGTAGTAATGGAACATTATTATGTAACTTCAAGACTTAGAAACCAGGGAATTTTAGGGTTGGAATAGACAGGAGGCAAGTACAATCACTTTCCATTTAACAAAGGGAACAGAGGCAGACTGAGAATCAAGATGGTTTCAGAAGCCTACACCTGTCCTTTTACTTCAGTATCACAAAAACTAAACTTTCTGGGGCTGTAGAGATAACTTAGCGGCTAAGAGTACTGACTGCTCTTGCAGAGGACCCGAGTTCAATTTTCCAGCACCACATGGCAGCTACGAACCATCCTTAACTCCAGTTCCAAGGGAATCTGAAGCCCTCTTCTGACCTCCACAGAATTGCACGACATGGGTGCACTCACATACATGCAGGCGATACACTTGTTACGGGTCTGTGATCGAACAGAGTCACCAACACCATTTTGGTAGAAAGTAGCAAGGCAATACTTTATTACGACCAGCCGGGCTGTCTATCTTGGGAATAGGAGCCCAGAACAATAGCCAGCCAGGGTTTTATAGAATTACAAAAAACATTGTTCAAACAGAAAGTCTATGAGCCGATCAGGTTCATAGCAGAACCTGTACAACACAGCAGAATTTGAATTCACCAATCAACAGCCTGTAACTGTGTGAGCAATCAAATCAAGTGTACAGAAGTGAGATAAGCAGTTAGCCCTAGATTAGAACATTCCATGGTTTGGCGGTTAGGCCATTTCTCGGAACTCATAGGCACACTCCTTTTCTGGGGAATTTACAGGAATCAGGCAGAGGTCAGCCCCTCCTAATCGTCTTGAAGATGAGGGGAACTTATGTTAGGACCCTGAGATAGTTCAATACTCATACACATAAAATAAAATAAAATAAAACAAACTATCTATAAATGGCATAATTTCATCAATTATATCATCTACAAGCCTTCAAATAACATTAAATAAAAATACAGAGAATTTGTAGAATATTTTTAAAGTGGCTCTTGAGTCAGCACCATGGGTATCACCTAGGAACTTATAAGAAATATAGAAATCAGAGTCACCTCAGACTTAGTCTCTGAATATATATTTTAACAGGAATCACCAGGCCTGGTGCTCACATTTTCATTAGAGTTGTGAAGCTATCCAAAGGAAAACTGTAGTCTCCCAGGTCAGGGCCTGTAGAGCCTGGAGAACCGAGGAAAGGAGAAGCCCATCCTATAGGAGAGGGTGAAGAGATTCAGATCAATCTGAATCTTGAATGTTTTGCAACCACAGGAACAAAATGTCCTGTGTGGTGAGATGATACATTTTAAGGAATGGCATTGCCTTCTCAGAAAGTGAAGAGAGGAAATTGCAAATTAGTAAGTGGATTTTCCGATACTGTTTCTAAGTAAGGGAGGGGGATGGACTGCATGCTTATTCTTCACTTTCACTATTCGAGGACAACTATTATGCTCTGGTAA